TCTCCTATCTTTATATTCGCTCTTTCCCTACTTTTTCTTCCCTTGCATACCAGTATTTTAGTTTTACTTTTATTTATTTTCATACAGTACTGATCTGTCAGTACCGCTTCCATTTTATTTAAAGCTATCTCTAGGTCCTCCTTGCTAGATGCTAATACTGCTATATCATCTGCAAATCTAAGCATACTAATCTTTTGCCCTTGCACATCTATCCCTACAATACTGTCTCTAATGATGTTGATGGCGTTAAATTAGGGAATTTTTATATATTTTCACCAGTGTTTTAAACAATAAAACATTTCTCTAGAATGGTGTACGTTTAGGTTTATATCACCTAAATAGTAATTAAATCACATACGTATAAGCAAAGGTATTTTCTTTGCAATAATTGTGAATGTCCTAAACGCTTATTTTACCATCTATCATTTCGCAGTGCCGTTTTTCGGTACCCCAGACGTGTCACTTGATAAATTTATGCGCTACTATACCTTTGTTGCCAAAGTTTCTTGGCAATTTGGGATTACAAATAGACCGCACTGCCTAAAAAATCAACAGGGCCGTGACAAATATGTATACACGAGCGGAATATCGTAGTAAACTCCAAAGTGCTTTTCGGGGTGAAAACGTCTCATTAATCATGCACGAATTTATGAGATCCCGACAAAGATATTCGGACACCGGGGATGGACATTAGTTCATTGTTGGTGTCAGTCGAATGATAAATGACTGTTTGGGTTATCACATAATGGGATACAATCGAATGGAGACAGGACGAAGGGAACTCAAAGTTTATGTAGAATATAGCAAGGGAAACTTTTCTTTTTTAGGGGTAAAGTTTTATTTATGACAATTATTAAGGATTAAGGGGACTACCTCGGGAGATGTCATCAATTGCAATAGGAGTAGGTGAAATACTAATCATTCTATGTATAATGTATCATCAACATAAGGTCGTCAGTCCTAAGACTGGTTGGACACGCACCTCCACTCCTTCCTATCCTGAGCTAATCTTCGTATTTCTCTAAAACCAGAACAATCCACATCCTTAATTATTTGTGAACACTAATCTAATCTAGGTATACCTCTATCCCTCCTAACTCCCGTTTCAACCTCTAATACGTTTCTGACTAGTCCTTCATGCCTTAGAAGGTGACCTACTAACCTATCTCGCCTATTTCTTATTGACTTCCATTTCGAACGCTTCTAATCTTTTCCGCAGCGCCCACCGTCTATGTTTTGCACCCGTACAGCGCTACGTACAATGTCTACATAATATTATGTTGACGAATTTTGAATTCTGTGGAATATGAATTACACTTACATACTAAACATTATTGTCATTGGACAAACCTTTTTTTTTGCTCTCTGGTTTTCCAATATTGTTCGTAATGTCATTTTTCGATTTGATTGAGTTCAACACACCAAAAATTATTATTTTCTTGCGAAACGTTTCAGAAATTAAAAAGGTTTCAACTTGTATAACACTGACTAATGAAGATCAATAAATACTGGAGGGTTTGTAATAAAGGTTACCACAGCCAACAGTAACTTATTGGTTTATCGTTCAATACCAAATTGTGCTTCAAAACATAAGTTATATCTCTTTAACACCAATGTTTGACGTAGATAAGGACGGACGTGGGTTTCTGATTTAATACTAAATTGCCTAGAATTTATGTTGTGTAAAGTATAATATCACTGTATCTGTATTTGGAAATTCTTTTGGAGAAAAAGCAATCAAAAGTATAAAAGTGGATTATTACAAATTGATGTTAAAAATATTGGAATTTTGAATTAGTTTACATTTAGGTAATTAATCATGATCAATTTCTAATCGAATTTCGTATACAGTAAATCCTAAAATTTCCTAGTTGGAAAACATGCGAAATTTAATGAAAACCTAAACCCTACCGATTGTTCTACGGATTTTGATGAATTGATTCCAAAGCTTATGTTTAAGCTAAAAATAAAAAGGGAAAAACATCAACTTCTGTTCGTTTTTAATAGCGTCGTGAATTAGTAAGATGATGAAAATTCTAGACAAAATTACTTGTAGCAGGCGTCTGGGTAAATTGTTCTTAGGAAATGCGAACAAAAGTCATAATTAGTGCTGGAATATCTGTTCTCATTTTGAATCCAAATTACGGAAACAATTATTTTGAGAACAAAACTGTATCTAGTTGAAATGAATTTTAGTTTTGTAATTTTTTTATGGCAAGAAATGCATAATATCATATCTGTACCGTCTTCTTTATAAAAATTTGACAAATAGGTAAAACACTAAAGAGATCTATTAGATTTCGACGAATTTGTTTCAGTAAACAGCAGCCATTTTCACGCAAAATTAGGTAAGATTACAAATTATAAATTCGTGGAGTAGTAAGGGAGTAGGGATATTAAAACTATTTAACTCTAATTGGTTATTTACTAACAGCAGGTTTGAATGAAGTGCTTTTTTGATTTTGAATATTGCTAGAAAGATTAATTGTCTATCTTTTGAAATATTGTGGTGTAAGATTTTAGTGTTAGGTACTAGTTTCTGACTGGTGACAGTTGAATGAATTCCCTTTTTTATTGATTGCATTTATGTGTTCATGAATTCGTTTTTTAATGGTTCTACCGGTTTGGCCAATATAGGTACATAGCACTACAAGAGTTGCAAATTAATTGGTAGATGTCGCTATTTTCTAAGAGGTCCAACTTTTCTTTAATATTACCAAGCTTTTAGAAGCTTTTCTCTTTGGTTTTAAAAATTAATTGAGTTAAACGGGTAGGTATTGTAGACGTTACTGTAGAATAGTAACAATAAGTTTCTAAGAAGTTCTTTAGAATTTTTCACAGTGGCTAACAACAATTGCATATTCTTAATAGCAGCTGAGCTGTGACAAATAGACAGACGGGATATACATCAAAGTCACGACTTATGTTTTCCTTTTTATCCTTTTTCCCTAACGAAATCTCAAACTAGTAATCCTAGTAAGTAGGTAAAAGAAATCCTTCAATTTTTTTTTGTGAAAACAGTAAAATTTTGCAAAGGTATAAGAATTAATTAGGACAATCTCATTAATACAATAATTATGTGTATCTGCTGACTGGACTATATATATTTTGAGGAGTTAAAAATGGTCTATGTTTATTGAACACGTGTTACGGTATAGTAGATACTTTGTAACAGTAGACCTAATGATTTGTAATTTTTTTTCTTGTTCGAAAAGCAACTGTGAAATGGCACCGATCATAAATCTAACGCATAAGACGCCGTTGGCGGCAACGGATACCGTTACCTTGCAATAACCAGACGCACTCGCCAACGAATGTGCAACTGGCCAAAGCCGCATAATAACAAAAGAAGTGGGCATTGCGCAACAACCGCCACACAGCCACAGTCACCGGCGCGGCGTGTGTCGGGTGGGGGAAGCTCACCTGGGAAACTACACGAACAGAAATTGTATACTGTATATCGTACGTCGCTTTATACTGTAACAGTTCGTAGCTGTGGATAACTGTTGATTTGTAGAAGACACCTGTTTGTCTCCTTCAAGTTCATAACATACTAGTTTTTGCGCAAACTAAAATATTTAACGAATCATTCAATTAACTTTTGAAAGTGAGCTTTGGAACTGGAGTTTTACCTAGTTTATAAAATAAAACGCGTGTGTCGTTAATCGTGAAAGTATATTCGTAAAGTATTCGTGTTGCCTGTGGTATTTTGTTATTGTTCTTGTGGAAATGGTGTTTGGTTTGCTCCAAATATTGTACGATATCGAAAAGAAAAGGTGAAAACAATTGGGCAATTCGTCCAGCGCATAAAGAGGTAGGATTCTGAAGGATTCGTAACTTTGGTACCAGTTAGATTGCGCGAAACTTTTGGTAACGAAGGTAATTTCTCGTTTGTATTGACAAGCTACCTGTTGCTAAGGTCCGTTGCAAAGAAAAGTTTGTTTTTCAACTTAAAATAGCTAATACTTTAGATTTATTAATTTTTCACATTGTTAGTTTTGAAACATTTGAATGGCGTGTAAATGATAGGTAAAAATGGCACCTCTTGAAGTGACAGTAAGCAGTAGGTGCATGATTGAGTTTCATTTTTTTACAATAAGAAATGTAACTAAAATCGTAATAATCCAACTTACAATTCCACATAGAACCTTTAAAAATTTAAAATCCAAGGCGTAAAGCGCGTTGTAAGTTTTTAAACGTTTTGTGTGGAATTTGAGCTTTCAGTTCAAATCTTGAATTGAAAATTTTTAATGTTCAGGCTACGATTGGAAAACCTTCGCAATCATACCCAACCTTGTACAATGCATGTCAAGCGGCTATTACGCGATTTAGCCAACTCTAGCCATTTATCTGATATGGGTACCTTTCTTGATACATACATATGTTCACCTGAATAAGTGTCGATGGTGCACAGACTTAAGTATATTTTGGCAATTCTCTATACCACAATGAAGTTTAAAAGGAGTTACATCTTGTGGTTTAAAATTAAAAACATTAGGAGAGGTGCAATCTCTGGAACTACTGAATCGATTTCAAAAATCCTTCGACTAATAGAAAGCTATAGGTTATCTTTTATTTTGATAAAAATGAGTTTGAAATCTGAAGATTTGTAAAGCGTTGCTGCAGCATGGACAATAGGTTTGATTTTCACATTCATATTTTTGTAATGATATCCCTATTTGCGGTATAATGACCGCAGTATCCATGTGATAGGGTCTCCATTTCTTTACCATTAACCCTGCTACCTCTCCATTTAACATTACACCCATCTGCGGAATCCAAGGTTTGCTATGACAAATAACTATGGTGTTTCCATAAGTCCATGGGGCATGGTGGTTGACTCAGGCTAAACAGGGAGATAAGGGATTATGTGTTGATCAAAGAAACCCTTCCCGTCGTAATCTAGCCTAGATTTAATTCCAGATACAGACCTAACATTTTACCCAAGGCAACCTGGGAGTAGTTTGTCTCTCTAATTTGGCTGAATCCCATGTTGCATGCGTAATATTTCGCACATTCAGGGAAACCCATTTCTATTATAACTTAACGTAAATTAAATTGTAGTAGTCCTCCCTCTTACTTATTTTTAGTATTTTTTATACGTGTATCTAGACAATTGCTTAAATACTATTTGAAATGCATATAATGACAATGAAACAGCACTGTATCGAAAGCTTTTTAGATCAAAATTTATTTCTCTCTTGCTGAACTGTAACAAACGTTTCGACATTGCTTTGTTGGCATTTCAAAATCTTTGTATAGCGGTCACAATAAAAAAAAAATGGAACTGACATATTGTGCATGTGCTTGTTGTTGGGTAAACGGAAATTATTTTCTCTCCATATAGGTACGTCTGTGTGGTGCTTATAAATACTAAATAAATTTCACCTTCCTGCTTTGGAATTATTACATAATAATAAGTTACCTATAAGTCGACTGACATGTGGCCGAGAGCTGCAACAAATAAACAACTACAGTGTTGTAGTCGTCTTTTTTTCAACGTATACCTACTGCGTTCGAGTGAATGAACAACAGCTGTTGTGGCGCTCATTCAAATATGTCCGGGGTTCCGTATTTGACCAAAGAGAACAACGAATTTAATTAGTAACGAAATTTAAAACTCGATTATCATATAGCTAAGTCATCTTTTCGATACATTAAAATTAATAAATAGCAAATCATAAATTGCAATAGTAAATTAGAAATGTGAGTTTTCCTCATTGAGTTTTCTCCAAAAGTTCCTAAGCGCATTCGTCAAAAAAGAAATTAATATAAATATATAATAGTCCAAGTCCATGGTCCGCTATTTGTGGATCTATATAAACTACAATCTTAACGTTTAACCTAGAATTTACTGAAGTGTGTGTAGTCACAACTAGAATCAACTGAAAATATTAATTCTGGTTTTACCTAGTCAAAACTCGAATTAACTAAAGAGATTTATCCTAGCCAGATCGCGTATTAACTAAAATGAAAGTTTTTACAGTGACGAGTGTGAAAATCACGCGCAGGATGGAATGATCCTTTTTTCCATTAAATCACATTCGATAGGGGTATGGTAAAAAAATATTTTCTAAAAAAATTAGACTGCGATAAATGGTATCCTTCATATATGTATATACGTATATTAATTATTGTGGTAATGGAGATATGATCTAAATAAATTGTAACTAATTGTGTGCTGTTTTCGCAAGAAAGGCGACGGTGAAATTGTTGATAACTTATTAAAACGGTTCGACTGCCTCGCTCTGATCGCTTTCGTCACTTGAAATTAACATATGTAATTGCACGTTCGTTTTTTGACGATTTCTTTTGCATATTGTGCGCGTTAACAGTGCTGTTAATATTTGCGTGATATTGATTGTAACTGTAACGGTTTTATAGGAATGTTTCACCGGTTATTATTAGCTTATTATCATAAAATGTAAATGTAGTTTGCTAGATGAGTGTGGAATCATATAAATATGCACAACTCTATCTATATAAGTTTAAATGCCATGTTATTGACATTTAAGTAGTACTTATACCTACGAGGCGACTGTGCAATGGGCGGGTGATTTCGTTATTGTACTAATATGACTGAGCTCAATTAATTAGAGGTGATTTTTATTTATTTTATTGTTTCAACATAGTGCGAACGCATGTTATACTTAATTAGGTAATTATCCTGCCATAAAGACTGCCGGCGTGTTCACAATAAACACGTGGTTAATTACGTTTATGGTACCTACGGCGTATGTGTGTGACTAAATATTAGGAAGCTGTTGTGGGTCAAGTGTGTCCTTTGTTGAATGACGAAGTGATGGTTTAGTAACTACATAATTTCAATTTAATTATCCTAGCCGATTAAGTTGTATATGTAGGTCCCTGAACACTTCAACTTGCTGCTAGTAATTTCTTGTTGATTAAATAATTGGGTTTATCTATCGAATTGATGTTCACCCATGGTAGGTTTTACCCGCGGCTTCGGTCGCGTTGAGTCCTAAATACGTGTCAAAAATAATCGACAATATAAAAGTAATTTTTCTATCCTTCGGGAACAGTATACTCTTTTGTGACTAAAAGGTGTCCTATATCCTTTTATATACTCTTGATAATGTGTGCAAAAAGTTTCATGACGATCGGTTGGACAGTTATGACATGAAATTGTAACAAACAAACAAACTAACATTTGCGTTTGTAATTTATTTAAACTGTCGTGAGTCACAGTATGCATGATTATATTCTATCCTGAGATTTTTGGTGAATATGGTAATTTACTTAGATTAGGCTAACTGGACCAGTTTTCAGATTGGGTAAATTTTTACTTTCAGTTATTTTTGAAGAGTGATAGGTATCGTGGTTATAAGAGTAGCACGTGTAACTTTTTTTTAAATGAATTTCATTTTTATTGTTTGTTTTATAAAATCTCAAAAAACCGGACGGAGTACGAAATTACCCAATTTTTAATACGATCAATATTGTCTCTGGCATTTTGCAATTTACCAGCCAAGAATAATTGCCGCCTGGTCCTAGTCCATATACGTACCTTTAGCACCCTTTGGTCGTTAAAGCTCGAATAGCGGTATCATTGCAAATAGAAAAACGAAATTTTTCTCTCCTGCTTGCTCGTTAAGGTCTAGCAACAGCTGCGGTATTAGCGCCATTTGCACCATACTATTAAACTTAACAGCGTCCAATTTACATTTGTCTACACTGAAATCTTTTTAAGACGGATTAGATAGACAAGAAAAGAAAATGTTTGTGGGAGGTTAATCGTTTATGGTATTATCCTTAGCAAGTGTCTAACGTAGAAAAGGGTACATCATCATAAGGTCGTCAATCCTAAGACTGGCTAGACACGTACCTCCACTCTTTCCTGTCATGAGCTATTCTTTGCACTTCCCTAAACTACCTCTTTAACTATTAGCGAACAGTAATCTAATCTAGGTCTACTTCTAATCCTCTTAACTCCTGTTTTGCTTGTAATATGTCTCTGACTCGCCCTTCATGCCTGAGAAGGTTTCCCAGCAACGTGTCTCTTAGTGAGTCTCCCATTCTTTCTACTACCTCTTCATTTCTAGCCTTCTCTACCCACGGTATCCTCATAATTCGCGTTTAATAACACATTTCGAAGGCTTCTAACCTTTTCTTTTCCATCACGCCCATCCTCCATGTTTCGCACCCATACAGCGCCGCAATCCAAACATACACCTTTAACAATCCTTCTCAAATTTCCAAATTAACCGTATGCGAGCATAGAAGTGACTTATTTTTATTGAAGGCAACTCGACCCTGCGCTATCCTCTGATTTATATCTCTACTATCCTTCCATCCTGACTTACCTGACTTCCTAGATACCAAAAATTAGCCACTTCTTCAAATTTTTCGTGTCCTATCTTTATATTCGCTTTTTCTTTAAAGGTTAATAGTATACAGGTAGGTACTCGACAAATATTATAATTATTTTAGTCTCTTCATTATCATAAGGTCTTCAGCCCTATGAATGGTTGGACACGAGTTGCACTTCTACCTGTCTTGAGTCAATCTTCCCGTTTCTTAAGCAGCCTACATCTTCAACTACGTTTAGGAACAATAATCTCTAGTAAAGGTCTACCACTACTACATTAACACCTGTTTTTACTTGTAATATGTCTCTAACGAATCGTTCCTGTTTGAGAAGGTATTCTACTAACCTATCCTGTTCTATTACTAATAATAAGTTCATTAGGAAGGATCTAATATAGAAATGATTTTTTAAGAGTTCTTTAAATACAAAGCCTTACAAGTTTTCCTGTGTTCGGGTTACTGAAATTTTAATTCCCACAATTATTT